CGGGGCCTGACCACAAAGGCCCAAGGCCCCCTGAATATGCCCCAAAGATTAACTGGACCATCGCCCAAGCGTTGCACCACACAGCCCCACGCATCACAAACTGTAAGCAGCACTGCCCATAACTCAGTCATACAAATACTGAACGCTCCCTGAACGAGCACCCACACAACTACACACAAAGCCACGCGGTTGACCCCATGAACTAGCAAGACCCACGCATACATGTACATGTAAGGCCAAAGCCTTCAGGGCCCCAATACACAAACTTGATAACACGTTTCCCAAAGTGTTAGCAAGACCATCGCAGGAGGACAAAGGGATATTCGCCCTTTGATTTTTGATTTATTTTGTTTGACGGCCAGCTAATTTTACATAGCACAAGACTGTCCATGAACTGAGAAGCACCTACAGTTCAAGGAATTATAAGTTGCCTTCAGTCCACAGGTGCACCTTCTGCAGTTAGCCAGCTCGTTTAACCTTGTTTTTCATTAACAGAAAACCACAGATATTTCACAGGCATGAGCTGGTACAAGGAGAATTTGGTTAATAAACACCATGACCTGACCTTTTGACTTATTTACGCCAGTTCTGCTGGCACTTTCCTCTGCAGGAAAATGAGTATAACTCTGACTCAGAAAACTGTTATTTAGACATAATTTGTGGCTATTATAAAAATTTCTAACACAACAACTTAAAGTGGTGCAATAAGGTTTTGAAATGAGATAACTTTTTAAATCGAGCATGGAAATTCATTTCCTGTGTTTTTAATTATCTACTTCAACCAATTGTCAAACAAATGCATACACGTACAGTGTATCTCTCACTAAGAAAAAATGGGGAAGAAATGCTACACCAATCTACTCTCCAACTTGTTTTTGAATAGTTTTAATTTGAAACTGCAAAGTGTCTTAAAAAAAACCGAACCCTTAAAGTGCCCTCTATTTCACAGCTTTAGAAGTCAAATTTATTTTGATTTGTCCATAAACCTTAATTTGTTAGCTTTAACATACTGAAAACATAATTTCAATCGGTTCAAAACTTGTTGAGTTGTGGCCAATTCAGGCGATTCACAATGCAGTGCACCACCAAGAGTTTGCCACAGAGAGTTCATTTTTTCCCCCAACGCATTGTGCGAGATGGTCCACAAATTCACAGCGTGGGACTTTTGAAATTGTTAGTCTTCCGGCTCGCTGTGCGAACCTATGTATGCCCCAGAACACTATGCCCCAATCTATAATAAATAAGCTGAAGTTGTCTACTGACATTCATTCAAATTGGCCATGTTTTGTCGACTGTAAACTTGAAAAATGGACTCTCCATGGCAAACTCTTGGTGGCGCACTGCACTGTGAAACACCCGAATTAAACAAAGATGTCACTTTTTCATTTTGTCCACGACATCCGTTGTTTTATAGGGCCAAAATATTTTTTTTTTGCTGAAAAGCTGATGAATTATACTTTTCAAATATGTATCAACTGATGAACTATACTTTTCCAATATGTATCAATAGTTCTGATGCAGTTTTAAAAACTGTGACAAAGAGGGTGGTTTGAGGGTTCATTTTTTTTTGGGGGGGGGGGGAGACACCCTTTATATGAACGTCTACAGTATTTCATTGTAAAATTATATTGAGTTGGCACATACCATTACCAACGCGTGTTACCTCCCGAGTGAAAGTTGGAAAAATCACTGAGGTGGGACTCGAACCCACGACCTCCTGCTTTCTAGTGCAGATGTCTTACCACTCGACCACTGAGCCAACGGGATCGGTTGGCTGGTTTGAATCTCATGTACATGTATACATACCGGGTAGCAGCAGGTACCGCATTTACAGTGTTTATCAGGCATGCAACTGGGAATTTAGATAAAACGAGGAAATTCCAATCCACACAAGACTTTGTACAGTGTTTTTCAATTTATAATGGTATTCATGAGAAGTAAAAAACGAGGAAATCAGCGGATCCGAGGAAAAATTGCATGCCTGGTTTATACGTTGGTGAAGGGCAAAAACCTAATTTGATTTACATCACCCGGACGCAAAATTCCATCTTACGTGTAGAGCATGCATGACAGTCACTAGATTTGGACAAGAAAAACTGGTGCAGGAAATTATACCATCCTAGGAAACCTGAGAAATCCCAGGAACTACTGTTCAGGAAGTAGAAGCCAGAGTGGGAAATACTGGGAAATACCTGAAATTGTGAACTCAACTCAACCCTGACTTCCTAACCTATTATGGCTGGAAGCCTTCCTGAAATACATCCTGCAAAAGCCTCCAATGTGCTGGAAGCAAATGGTACACTCTGTATACTGCACGGGGATACCAAGTCCCTTGCAAAGACAATGGCAGGGTTCCAAATGTACCGGTACCTTCCTCGATCCTGCAAAAATCCTGGGGAAAAGGATTTCGCTATTTTACCCCTGGAAGAGGTTTTAGAGTTAATAAAAATATTTTTTAAATGGCGGGTGGAGGTGATTCAACGACTGTTTCATGATCCAATAAAATCATACACAAACAGCCGTCGTAAATGCTTTAATATCCTCGTCGAAGATGTTTGGATTATTGAAAACGTTGCACACCTACATGTACCGGGTACGTCAAATTTTGTGAAAACGATCGTAAGTTTATTGCGTGCAATACGTTTGTTGCGCAAGTCCAACGCATGGCGTAATTAGTTACGCACTGTTTCGTGACATTGGCTGCAGGTCTTTTACAGTCTTGGTCCAAAAATGGATTTTATTGACTTCCACTGCCTCGGTAATTTAACCACATTGTCATGGGACAGGTTGCAAAATAGGGGAAGAAAAATTCAAATCCAGTCACTAGATCAATCATCCTTTGAAATAACCATATTATTTCTTGGTTTTCCAGCATCTACCGGGTACATGTACCGGGTATGAACACACACATACTGAAATTTGTATCCTTGTGGAGAAATTTCTTTGTTCTCGTGTACTAAAGTTTTCGAGTTTGAAAGTACCGTTTCAAAATGCTCTTATTTTAACCAGAATTATTTTCCTTGGCTGAAATTCGGACTTAACCCTAACTCTCTAGGCCTTTTTGCTAGGATGTAGCCTCAATCCTGCAAAATCCTCCAATTGGCCTCATAGAAAAATAGCATAGCCTCAATCCTGCAAATTCCTCCATTATTTTTTTAATATGGTCCATGGAGCGGTGAACACTGCCTGAATCCTGCAAAATCCTGCGACAGTGACTGTCAATATGTTGAGGCTTGGCCAGTGACATCCTGGAGCAGTACGGAGGATTTCAAGCATAATCCAGGCCTATATTTATGCATGGCCGAGCAAAAACAACACAAGGTCCGGCCCAAGACCTTGACAAAGTGCATCCTACGAAATCATTACGCAATTTTGCTATGTATCGTAACCTCAATCCTCCAAATTCCTCCACTTTGGCAAGGAGGATTTTGAAGGATTCAGGGTGGTTAGGGTTAATATCCCTTTTCTAAAACTCTACCATTTGCGACAACATACGTTGATAATTCCTAGTTTTTTTTTAGTAAAATCCATATATTTCGTGAAAACCTTGTGGAGACGTATTCATCTAGAAATTGCCCTGTGGAGACGTATACAATCTTTTGATCCCTATTGTGTGCATGTCTCCACAGGGCACGATGTATCAGATCAAAACTTTAAACAGATCTGTGTAACAATATTTGCTATAAATTACTTATAATAAAAAAAATAATAAAATACTAACTCCCTAATCCATCCATTTCTGAAAGGTACGGCAAATGTTTTGTATTACCAATACCAGCAGTTGTAGAACTTTTTTAGCAGATTCTAAAAGGACTAAGTGTACAAACTCAAAACAATTTCCTGAAATTATCAGAAAAGTTAACCATGCGGCCAACCAAATACTAAAATTACCTGATTACTTTGCAAGGTCGGACTGCTATCTACACCTGACCAATAGTAATACAGCTGCTATCAGCCAAAGCAAGGACACCATCATGCAATATTAATTTGTTTCCCTCACAGGATGTGTCATAAATGAAAAAGGAAGCTAACACGGGACAGGTATTTAGCTTCACGTACGTTTTTTCCCCCTTCTACTTAGGATTTACAAGAACGATATGGACAGGAAACAGAAGCTTTAAATTCTTGGTTGACAAAAGATACTAATTACAGTTAGTACATGTACATACATGTATACTTCACCTGCTCTGAACACACTGATGTCATAACTCAGATATAAAATCATTAAATAAATTGAATTGCAAATATGTATGACCATACGTGAAGGTGCATCTTTTAAGGTTGAATGATTCTTGACTTTAATTAATCAAATACCGTTTGTTTAGTTTTTGCTTTATTGATTGGCTTTTTCTTTTCTCTTCAAATGGAGTTATTACTCAACATGAAATTATTGAATCCACTTGAAAAGACTTCCATTGCATATTACAGGGTGAGTCCCAAAAAGTGGAACCCAAACCCCCTGAAATATGTTTCAATTAAAAAAAAATTTGTACATGTGTAGCACCAAAAACAATAATGACTCGAAAACCAATTTCATCTACTTTTAGATGAAAAAAAATTACGGAAATTGCTCAATCCTTCCCAAGAATATCAACATTTGAACACAATGACCCTAAAAACCTCTTTCGTCAAAAAAACAAAACCACACAAATAAGCTCTGGCCGTGTTGCAAGAAGTCTTGCATGAGATCAATCAAAACAATCCCTGCCAGAGCTGAAAAGTGCGGCGCTGAAAAATGCGATGCCAATAGCACATATGGAACACCATACTTTTGGTCAATTTTCGGGACAAAGACCGACCACAACCAAGTGACATACTAGAAGTCCCTGCCAGGGCTGAAAAAGTTTACTTTTTCATACCAATCAATCTTAGCACCATTCATAATTATCAATGTTTTTAAATTTCGATTCCCCCCCCCCCCCCCCGAAAATGCTGTTGGATGGGTCAACGAAAACTGTTCATTTTGTGTACCTGTATACATGTGTAATTTGAAAACTTACCAATTAATGAAAGAACTTTTCCCGGCAGAGTGGTTCCCGATCAGAAGAATGTTGATCTTCTTGCGGGGCGCCAGCAGCCGCAGGCCGAGCTTGTCCGCAATTGAGATCAACCCTGCAGAAACAATGAACAAGAAACAACAGTGTGACAGTGAGAGTAAGCGTATCATTGCCAAATTGTGTTTACACGCACGCAAACGGCAAAAGGTTCAAAACATGTTTGCTCGGTGGCCGAGCTTTGTTGTGACCAGGAAATGGCTTAAGGAATAGAATGTCATTCTTTGGGTTACTTAAGCACACTTCCTTCTGTACATGTAGGAAAGAAAATTCTGATTAATTCGTGAATTAACCATTTCAAGCCAGTTGTATTTGACCAGACCCAGGCGTACAATGTAGGACTATTTTTCAGGAACCTCGATGCCAGACGGATTCAGGCATGAGCTGCGGGTACGGTAGCACACCCTGATCTTTCGGGCCTTGCTAACTGCGAGCAGGTTGCTGACAGATATTTCCGGCCTCGCTTGTTGCGGGTTTATCAGTCATCCGATCTGAATTTCGGAAAACTTTTGCGTGTATGCACGTCCTCCGGTGCAAATTGGTTGAGATATTTCCGGCCTTGCTCGTTGCCAGTTTATCAGTCATCCGATCTGAATTTCATAAAACTTTTGCGTGTATACATGTACACGTCCTCTGGCCCAAACTGGTTAAGATGTGGTAAAGTTTAATCAAACGATCAAGAGACATTTGTACACTTCATGTGCATAATTTGAAAACTGCCTAGGCATGGGCGTCGCCAGGATTTTTTCTAGAGGGGGGCAAAATTTTTTTTTGCCAAAAAGTGCTTGTATTTCTCAACACATTCTCGATTTATCAGTTTTAGAGGGGGGCAGGGACATTTTGCCCCCACCCCAACTCATTAAATTTACACCACTTTGTCTTCGCGCCTCTTTTTTTTTTTTTTTCTTCCTTTTTTTTTTTTTTTTTTTTTTTTTGCTTTTCCGGGGGGGGGGGGGGGGAGGGGGGGGGGGGGGGGGCAAGTGCCCCCCCTTGCGACGCCCATGTGCGTAGGTACACTGACTTGTTTCAAGTAGTTTTTTGGATGCCCATTTTATAAGCAATGAAGTCAGACCATGGTCGAATACTTGACAGACCTACAATGTAATTGTATTTGCACAATACGAGGGAACAGACTTGTACCGGTAATTATCATTTATGCCCGTAAAATGAGTACATGTACCTTTCAACAGGTATACATGTATGTATGTAAATATTGTAAGTGGGTTTCTATAAGAAAATTCTATTTTACACAGTTATATTCAGACATGGTAAATGTTTTACTAAAAACAATACCACAGCGAATACTAGGCAACACAAAGTATCACCGCCCATCAGCAGGCAATTATTTATAGCAATTCAAAACCTCATGAAAAAAAGAGGGAAAAAAAGAAAAATTTCCAAAATTGAACTGGGAAACCTTCGTTAATCAAATACGTTCCAAGAACCATTCAACAGCTTTGTAAACACTCAAGGACAAAAATGGAGCCAGGTAAGCATACAATGTATTACATGATACATGTAGGTACCAGTCTACCAGCACATTTTGCAAACTTTTGAGTAAGGCTAGTTTTTTTCAAAGTACTTGGCTATGGCCTAGAGTAACACACAAGTATATGGAAAATGCATTCAGCCGCATGTGGGATTAAAAGCCATAGTCAAGTACAAATACATGGAACTCAGATGCAGCTTTAGATACGGTTTATCTACAAACTTATTGTACGTTTTCTGCACCAACAGAATCACGTTTTGTTGAGGGAAGGGGAACAATCTCTGAATTAGGCATGAATTTAGAGGAACTTTGAAAGTCACTGAATCCTACAAGATCAAACTTTTGAATACTTTTTGTTATTCTGTTACACCCATGAAGAAGAAAAAAAGAAGAAATCATTTAAACCGCAAGTACCCATCCCTACATGTACACCCTAAGTACCGAGTATACCCCACAAGTTAACATTTATTAAGGCAATTCAAGCCACGTGAACTTTAAGTGACTTCCATGCACATGGTACATGTTTAATTATATGGAAGCCACTAGCACGTACCTACATTGTAATTGGCTGTAGCTTTCGCAATCCTACAAAATCCTTAAAAACCTCTCTGGGAATTTTAAAGTATTTTGGAAGGGTTAATATGAATTTACCTCTAAAGCTACATGTACCACAAGTATCGGGAATAAGTATTATTTATCAAATTTTATGTGTAGTGCATGTATTTTTTGGGGTTGGAAGGGGGGGGGGGGATTGGCCACCACAAAAGAAAACTGACCCTCATTAAATACCATTCCTGTATTTCCAGGAAAGACCTGTCATATGCCCCTGACCTAGCACCATGCCATACGCTCATCACTGTCTCAATTACCAGGTCAACTTTTGATCTGCAAGTAGAAAATTCTTCTAGTCAGCAAATTTAAAACGTGCTTAGCAAAGATCAGCTGAGAGCACGGGGCCCCATCTCATACAGCTCATAACCCTTTAGCCCTTGTACCGCCCAAAACCGCCCAGCCTGTTACTCCTCATGCCGCCCCAAACTGCCCTGTCTTTTAGTCCTTATACCGCCCCAAACTGACCCAGGTTTATGGATTCGTGGAGGAATACAATTAGGCCTATACAATTTACCGGTAATACAACTGAACTCTTCCTACTATTTAAACAGTCACAGACAGTGAACAATTCCATTCACTCCCCCTGCTATACTTTTAACACAGGCTAGTCACCAGCAGTCAGATCATATTTCAAGCAAGCACTGTGACTAGTCAAATTCAGTCCACTGACAAACGCAGCCAACTGGTACTGTACAGCTGTCTTATCAATCAGGCACAGCTTTCTTATCAGTCATCTGGGTACAGTCAAAGCATAGCTGCATCAAGTTACATCAACAGTCACAGCCAGTCAATTCTGCTTAATGTAGGCCGGAAGCTCTTACACTTAACTACTAAAAACAGTCACTTGACTGATGTTGACTGAAAGGACAACTTTGCACAGAATGCATGTTTGCATGTGGGGTTACCATTGCTTAAAGGTTTAACAGATAATTTTGCTACGTACACTTTCTTGCTAAGCAAAAATTAGTTGGAAATTTAAAAGCCATATACATAACCATCAAAATCCACCACTGCTATATAGGTGGATTTTGATGGACTTGATACTCATGGCTTGTGGGGATGGATTTTGATGGAATTGGGAAGGTTAGGGCTAAGCAAGTTTCTACGCTTTGCAAATTTCAGCAGTTAGCACTTGAAAGTTGCTTAGCACTTGGCATGACATTCACTCTTGATGCAGTAATGTTTTTTTCTTTTTCTTTCCTTTTTTTGGGGGGGGGGGGAGGGGCTTGGATCAGTCCATTTGTCAACCTTGGCCTTAGTGCCCAGGTCAATACTTCATTAAGATGACCCATGAGTACATGTGTACATTAAAAACAAAGCTCACAAAGAAAATCCTGTTTTTTTATGATGGATTTAGGACCTTGACCATTTGGCTCTCCCCACAAGGATGTTCTTGCTGTTCTCCCCTTGAAGTTTAATGATAGTCCTTGGCAAGGGATTAAATTAGCAGGACAGAGGTTGGTGGTTGATTGCAAAGTTGGTATTGATTGGCTGGCAGTGTCAACAGCGAACAGGGGTGTTTGAACTGACAGAAGTGACCCCATTGGATGAATTCTGTACAGAAGGCGTGGCTTGTGTTTTCTGTGGCAATGTGAAAAAAATATGGATGACACTACCTTTCTAGAACAATAGGCTTGTATTTCAATTGACCTATCGCCGTTTGCGAGTTACCATGGCCCTTAGCCAACCCTATGGAATTGTGTACGTTAAGTTTTGTTTGTCTCAGATGTTGCGCATTCCGCATCCATTTGTGTCATGTAATTGGACAATATTTCAGAAAACGCGTTGATGTGATTGTACCGCGATAGGTTAATTGCTACAAGTAGCAAAGCATGAAAACAGAAATGAAATAACATAACAAAGAGACAAATTATGACAAATCAATTTTAAGGTTTTATTTACATGTAAGTGTGTATCTAAATTCACTTGAATGCTTTTGCAGTACATGTAATGTACGAGGATGCGTACCCCCGGTACCTTATACCACAGCTATAATGGTACACATTTTCATCGTGATTCATTTTGGGGTAGCCCCACCCCAACTCTCCTCCAACAAGTCTGGGAAAAAAAACCTGACAATGTAAGAAGCACTATAGGAAATTCAAATTTAGTAGTTCGTTTTGTTATCCAGCGAAGCGCGCGCAAGCATTGGCACAACGCACACGCCCGGTTGCTTTAATTCGTCGGATCAGTGCGCAACATCGCGTGGCTGCAATCGGCTCAGTGAGAACGTGTCTCGGACGCTGAATTCAGGCCCAATTCAAAACATGATTCAGCAACTTTTGATTTGAAATCGAGATCCTAGAATGTTGTTTTTCTTGAAATATACAGCTAAAAGCTGAGCTGAAACAGAGCCTCCGTCCTTTTCATAGAGACTGTAAGCAGTAGGCCTATGCATGGCAAAAACACGCTTAACCCCAAAGGACAAAGTTGCTTAAATCAGTGACGTAACAATAGAAATCTCCATGCACACGCAGCCGTTAACACATCCTCGTCTTGAAATAGTACTTAACCAGCAGCATAATTTTCTGGCTTGCACAACTTTTCTGCTAACTGTTAAGCAGCGCTATGAAACAGGGCCCAGGACTGATATTCAATAAAACTCAGTTAATACTCACTACGATTTACACAAAATTCCAGCTTAAGTCTTTATACAAGACAGTGGCTGTTTTACAATTAAACGTTTGTTTTTCCCCTGAGAAATCATAAAAATAATAATTTCCAATTAAAATTCATTGACAACCATAAGGTGGGCTTAAGTTAAGTATAATAAAAAGTTCTTCCCAATATAGTCTGTGTAATCATACACCACAAAATCAAACCCCACCTGAATATACATTTCAATTTTTTCAGTAATTGATATAAATGACCAATGCATAATTATACTCTGGCCAGACTGGTTTGTCCAGCCAGCGTCCTTGCTCTGTCTGGTCACTGCATTAGTCACCCACAGGCGGCTGGACACAAGGCCATCCTGCCAATAGGCAAACATCTCATTAGCATACAGCCCAAGGCCAGCCAACCACA